AAACCTTACAGGAAAAAAAATTTCCATTAGAGATTCACTGGTGTCCAGTGACTCAGTATTATTTTCAAGACAACAGCTGACTGCCTAGCTCTGTGCAGCTGATAACTAGATTTCTGTACCTTGTTTGCTGGGAGATTGGAACTTATTCCTTACTCAAGTCAATCTGTTAATTATGAACTGCACAGAGCTAAGACTAACTTGGATAAATCAAAGTTTTGGGGGGAAGCAACTCGGAAGAATTACCTATAAACCACACCAAACACATACAGCATTATTTGGTCTTACATGGGTCTAAATATTTCTTTTGTGCAGAGCCTGTTTCTTAGTCAGGAAGGTGACACTCTCAGTTAATACAGAAAAACAGATGTTCTCAAAATGTATCAGGCCTCCCATATAAAGACTCTTTAGGTATATATTCAGGTACATAAACAGAGGTATTTGGCTGATCTCATTTCATAACACATTCCTGATAAACACTCTGGGAGTTTGGTGCCTGTTCATAAAGAACATCAACCCTCATTTTGCATCTAATAGGACTTTATGGACACAAGTAGTGGATAATTAAGACCTAAGCAAACAGCTACACTTTTAGAATTCAAAATGAATTGGGAAAATCAGACCTTACACAATAGATGCAAAGGGGAAATAAAATGAGTGGTATTAATCAAGACACTTTCAATCCTGATTAGTTCCATCTTCACCCCGTTTGAGCAGTTGATAAGATGGGCCGTACCAGGCTATCTAAATTAGATTTCTGTAATCAATTGTGCATTCACGTCTAAATGGCTAATAACATATCTGAGCACATTTTCTAAGAAAACGACAATGAAATGTATCACCAGATGCTGATATTACACTTCATCCCTTAGGTCTTTTTTCTCCGTATGCAAGTGAACACGCACTTTTTAAGAAGCCCACCCAGGTGTTTGTTGCTGGAGTCTAGATGGAGAGAATTGCATGCAAATAAGCTGATTCCTCAGGCAGATCTTCCCTCTCAAGCAGCAGGGAACTGTAGTTCCAGAAGAGGCAATTGCCTGTGTACAACACGTACGCTGCCTCTCACCGGGAGCTCATGATTTTTGTAATTAAACCCACTTCTGCTTATGGTATGCCCAGATTCGCCCGCTCTGATTTCTTCTGTAGTGGTGAACAGGCGTGGAAGAAACAGATGACAAATTCTGAATCTCAGTTTAGGAGATTTAGGTCCTGATTCTCCACCACAGAGCACTGAAGCAATCACAAAACTTTGTGCTTCCAGCAGTAAGCTCAGCCTGCATTTTTCCCATTCAGTGTTTCAGCTTAGATTTAGATGTGATTGAGTTTGTTTGGTTTCTGGCTGATAGAAACAGGCAACTCCTTGCCATTAAAGGAAGGGCAGCCATACCACGCGTTAGATAAGTGGGATAATACCTTCCCATCAGCATCTCCACAGCAGCACCAGATGTCATAACGCCACAGTGCAGAAATGCATGCCTGTCCTGCAGATACAGATTAGTCACATCAAGGACACAGAGGGGAGGTACGAGACATTGCTCAACATGCCCCTGCAAATGGAGAATATCCAGCTTTCAGATAAGAGGCTTTGTTTTACTAGTTTACGCAGAATCAGTAGTGGGAATGGTTTTTAGTTGCGGTTCAACAAAGACTTCAAAATAGTAATTACAGTTCAAGAAAAAAATTGTTCTGTTTCAGCTTGAGGCCCTGAGAGTGAACATTAAAAAAAAAAAAAAAAAGAGAGAGAGTCTCAGTGTTGAAGAAATACCACGGACTGCTCTAGAGATACATTTGAAAAGGTGGCTTACAGTGATCACTGAGTTAGATAACCTGGGTGGTAGGATAAAAATCACCTCATTAAAGGACAATTAAATAGCAGACAAGAAAAACAAGGCAATCTCTAAATTGAACCTAGAAATTTTTATCATTCTGCCAAACATTTAAATTCATCTTTGAAGCACTAATTCTTTTAATACTGCTTGCTCTTGTCAGCATTTTCTCAAAATCACTTCATAACTCTTTCTAATTATTCTGCAGTGTTTGAACAGATTTATTATGGCTTTTGCTAAATGCAAACAAACAAACAAAAAATACACATATGTTATAACTTTTTATTTTCAAGTCAATTAAATATCTGTATGCTTATTTAGAAAAGACTGCATCTGCTTTCCACGGGCTCTAAGGCTTAGTCACTTGTTTCCTATTTACAATAAATTGTTTCAAATCAAACTTTAAAATTCCACATAATTATCGCAATAAAACACTTATTAGCACATGCAATGCAAAATGGAATCCAAACATTTAGGAGAGAGTAGGTGTTTTGGATCCTTTCCACAGGAAACAGTTGTGTTGTGTTTTTTTTTTTTTTTTTTTTGAAGAAACTATAAAAGCATCCCAAGCCAAATGAAGCCATCCTATGTCATCCTAGCAACTGACTGGAGTTAGTCAAAAATGGAGAAAGCACTTTTATACAAATCTGCATTAAAACAAAACAAAACAAAAACATTAGTTTGTAGCCAAAAAGGCTGACACTGATTACACTTGGTTTACTCACTGCAGTTTACAATTTGTAAAACTGGTCAGTAAAGGGGAATAAAAATTACTGTATTTCAACAGAATGCAATGCATTCTGTTGCGTTTTGAGCTCCAGTCTGTGAGCTTCAGACAAAAATTTAAAAAAACCCTAGTTTGTCTAAAGAAATCCTAAGGGATTTAGGATCCCATCCATTGTCTGCAAAATATTACAGAATATACATACACATATTCAAATCTGTAATTCATTTTTGTGGGAGATGAGTAAGCAAGTAATACAAAGCTTAACTAAAAAAAAAAAAAAACGTTTAAAAAGATAATAAAACATTTCAATGCATAAATGGACTTATTTTTCTTTTCTGGGACAGGTGAATTCAAAAATATTGAAAGCCTATTTCTTCTCTCTTGATATTTTCATCTTTTATATTGCTATTTTCCAAATAGCTTTGAACCACAGTATCTCCTGTTTGACAGTACTCCAGAGGAGTGGAGTCCAGCTTAAAAGATTCTGTGTGACATCTGCAGCTCCAAATGCTCAGAAGGGAACAAAAGGAGGAGCTGAGCTGAGAATATTTTTCTAAATTTTACTCGGCAGTTTGCTTCAAAAAGGATTGTCAGAAAACACAGGTATATCTGCAATCATCCTCAATTCCTGAAGCATACCTTAAGCTAACTTCTTTTACCACAAACAAGTTTGAGAATGCTATTTTAGGCATATAGTTATATATAAGTCTCAACACTTAAAAAAGCACTGCATGTGAAGGCATGCTTTTGTTCAGACCATGTGCAGACCAAAGAGCCAGCAGTAATTTTGAATTTTGCCTTCCATGAGTCTTGTATACTTCTGACACTCACATAGTAGAGCCATTAAACTCCAATGGATACTGGTTTTATTCATTCTTCTATTTTCTGAGCAACAGTCTACTTCACATCTCTACCACTGTCTATTTTAGAATGTTTCTGCAGCTGATTAGAAGATTTCAAGTGATAAAAAGCTTGATTCATGAACTCATGAAATGAATTCATTTTTTATAATAATTTTTATTTTTTAAAAAGGCTCTACTTCTCTTCACTAACTGAAATGGACAGTGTGCTGATAAACTTCCAGTGACACTGGGTTCAGCGCTGAAGAATATCAAGAACATAAAGACTGCTCAGCTCTTTAAAGCAAGCACAATCTTCTTTCAATATCATACAACTGCAACAGTAAAAATAAAACTGTGATCTATTTAACTACAAGAACTCTTGCTACACTCTCTGGCCTTATGAATAGAGCCTTGATATGGGAAGTAAAATGCCTGGTTTCCCACAATAATACCAGTGAGAGAGAATGTGCCGAACAGCCCCATATATCATCATAAGAATTCAATATCCATGACATTTTGTGTTCACTGTGCTTGAATTTGGAGAAAGACAAGATAAGGTTAGCAAAACACAGCAGAGATTACTTGTCACTTTAAAGCATCTCCCCGTGTTAACTGTTTTGTGTTGTAAGCTCTGAAGTACCAACACACTTTCCCAGACTGCGCTGAGAAGTAGCAGCTGAGCAGTTCGGTGATGAAGTACACGGCATCTCAAGTGGGTGATAGCTACAAGTGCTCACAAGTATTATTTATAAAGTACAAAGTAAAGTCCAACCATTCCTGAAGCAAAGGGGTGTCAGCTCGGGTGGAGAGCCAGATAGATCAAGAGTGCAGTAAGGAAACACAGCCTTCTGTGTAATGTAATGGAGCCAAACACAGAGGGGTAAAACTGCTCAGAGCAAAAGCAAGCTAAGAAATTTCTGATTTTTTTTCTAGCAGCTACATCTTCTTTCCCTTTTCTTACTGCTTTCTGCACAGCTCCAGGATAAATATGAAGTACTTCAGGCATCCTATTCCCACAGTTCTAGGCATCCTGGTTTGGGTGAGGGATTGTAAACCTGGCACAGTGCAAGTCAGGACAGCAAATCCATGTTCTCTGATAAACCTGGGGGCAGCCAGCAACCATCAAGAGCTAGTCTACCCATTTTGGTCCTTCTAGATTTTCCAGGCTCAAGCTTGCTAAGATTTGACTCTTTCCAGTCCACCAGAAAATATCAGTGTCACTGCACAGTTATAATGGGAGATGAGCCAAAGGCAGCCTGGGACCTAGAATCAACAGCCAATTCTAACAAAAAAAGGGAAGCTTAAAAGCTGGCTGCAGTGACCACCTACGCCTTTAAAATGAGGGCTGTGTACCGTAGTCTACTGCTGCTCCAGTGATGTAAACCACAGTGAAAATCTTCACAGGGTCAAAACAGAATGAAAAGGGATTTCAAATATTATGTTACTAAGCAGTAGCACGCTGTTGGAAAATAAAATGTAATTTATGTCTCAGCACAGATATGGAGTCTGTTAAGCTAGTCCCAGAGAGCATTTCTAGAGCACAAAGCAGAACAGAGTTTATTACAGAGATGATTAGCAACTAAGCACATTTACTTAATGTGGTTTTTACAACCTAAACATCACCCACTGCATATGTACACCAACTAAAGATTTTGACTTGTCAACACTGCAACACTGAAATATAATCAAGAGATGGAGTAAATACAGTCTCAAACAACACAAGGTTATGGATAAGATCATTTCTGTCTACTTAATTACAGGTAGCTGATGATGTGTTATAAAGCTTTACTAACATGAGCTAAACTGTAACTTTTATTTCACAACATATACATCTGCCTGTTAGATTCATTTTAAAATACTGAATCAGAACATAAAAATGCCCGAGTGATCCATTTAGCTCCATACCATGTGTCCAACAGTGGGAACATTTAGGAAAGCAGAAAGCTCTGGCACGTCCCTGGGTCATCTCCCTGCAAACCCCCTGAGCATTCAGTATCCATTGCTCAGTGGCCTAGAACCTGGCCTGCTGTTGAACAAGGCTGCCACTTGTGGATAATAAAAGAAAACAACTTTACAATAGTTTTCAGTTCAAATATAAGTATTGTTTTAATATTATCTATCTATATGTATGTATGATTGCTTTTTCTAGGCCACCACAGATACACTCAAGAAAGCAAAACTAGTTTTTGTCATTTTGCTATTGCTCCATTAAGACACAAGAAATATCAGTTTTCTACTAGTGCCATTTTATTATTTATCATTTCACTCAAAGTCTTCTGTATTTTGATTGCAGAGGGATCTTATGCTCAGGTAACAGCACAACTTAATATCATTATTCCACCTCTCTGCGGATCTTGCCAACTTTTCCAGGAAAAATACAGAAAAACTAGGACATAGAATTCTAATATTTGCTTTACAGAAGGTGAATATCAGTGCAAAGAACCAAGGCAAAAAAATGATAAGGCTGGTAGCTTATTGTAAAGCTTCAGAGAAGAAAGCTGAGGCAAATTTTGTTTCTGCTTCATAGATTCACAAATGGGGGCCTAAACGAGGTTCCCAAGGATAAAAATAAATAAAACAATATTTTCCTGGATGGTGTGTGCCCTCCAGGACAAACATTTTGTGATGCTACACGGAGAGTGAAAGTTAGAGCCAGGACCTTATCATAACAGCCATTTTTCTTCCCTCACACTTAGCAGAACTCCACATTATCTTATTAGAGTAGGTTTCAAAACTTTGCTTTTTTTGAAAACTACAAGTCTGTTCCTTTCTTGTTGCTGCGAGAGCACAGACATTGGGAATCAGCTTAAAATGATAAAGCAGTGTCTTCAGCCTGAAATCATTTTCTTAACCAAAATTACTACAATCTGACATTGTCACATCAAGCACTTTGCTACACAGATTGGCAAACTAAGGTCTGAACAGGTCAATCCTAGAAGACATGTCCCCCACAACTCAGCAAAGCATTGTGATATTTGCTTCAAATTAAACCCTCCATGGTCCCACTGAACTTCAAGTTTGAATGATCTGTTCAGTAACAGGCCAAAAGGAGCAAATACAAATTCTGAAAACATGGGTTCAACTCCAATTGGCATTTTTGGGTTTTTGCCCTCACAGATGGATGTCCTTGGAAAACAGTTTCCAAGCAAAACACTTTTACAGGAGTCACAGGAAAAACACACACCACATCCTTCCTCAGCAATCACCTCTCCTGGTGACCAACGAGGCACCACAACGACTCCTGAGGCATCCTCATCCTGTGGCTGGGGAGAACCACCACTGACTTGTCTCTAGGCCAAGCACTGCAAGTATTTAAGGGTTTGATGGTTCAAAGACAGTCTGACAAATCCAAAATGCCCCTGGAACAATCAAGTACAACCCTGCAGATTCTGACAAGGAAAAAGAAAAGTCTAAGGTATTTTGTGTTCTTGGAGGTAAAAACCTTCCTCGATTTACTGATTCACATCTGTGCACACACATACGCAGTCTGTTTTCATTTGCTATCTCTACACAGATTAAAAAAAAAATGGAAAGAAATCCTAAGTACATGACCTTAGACTTTTATCACATATTATTGACAATGTAATGGACAATGAATCTGTTCTCCTAGATTAGACAACCAAAACATTCACTTCTTAATAGGAAACATAGATTAGTCAACTGTATGAATAGTAATTATTTACTGTCCTGGTTTCAGGACAGTAAATAATTGTGGCCGTGTCAGAGAAACGAGCTGTAGCAGTGCAAGTTGACCCTGCAGAGGGTATTCCAATCCCTGTAACGGGGTCAGAGAAACGAGCAGTAGCAGTGCAAGCTGCCCCTGCAGAGGGTATTCCAACCCCTGTAGCAGACTCTGTAACAAAGTCAGAGAAACGAGCAGTAGCAGTGCAAGCTGCCCCTGTAGAGAAGGTGAAAAAATGGTATAGAGATTCAGGTCGTTTAGAACGCAGAGAGTCTTCTGCCAACCCAGGTAAGGCTTCTGCCAAAACTAGGTATAGAGATGACGAAGATGACGACGACGCTGGGCCATCAAGGATTCAGGAGGAGGAAGATGAGGATGCCGAAAAAGCAACAGTAACTACCCGAAGCCGGTTTTGCCATAAAACAAAATAAAGTCAAAGGACCTGCACGAGAGATCCAGTTTTTAGGAATAAAATGGCAAGATGGACGTCGCCAAATCCCAATGGATGTGATCAACAAAATAACAGCTATGTCTCCACCAACTAACAAAAAAGAAACACAGACTTTCCTAGGTGTTGTGGGGTTTTGGAGAATGCACATCCCAAATTACAGTCTGATTGTAAACCCACTCTACCAAGTAACCCGTAAGAAGAATGAGTTTGAGTGGGGCCCTGAACAACGACAAGCCTTTGAACAAATCAAGCAGGAAATAGTCCATGCAGTAGCCCTTGGGCCAGTTCGAACAGGACCAGATGTAAAGAATGTGCTCTACACTGCAGCCGGGGAGAACGGCCCCACCTGGAGCCTCTGGCAGAAAGAACCTGGGGAAACTCGAGGTCGGCCCCTGGGGTTTTGGAGTCGGGGATACAGAGGATCTGAGGCCCGCTATACTCCAACTGAAAAGGAGATATTGGCAGCATATGAAGGAGTTCGATCTGCTTCGGAGGTGGTCGGTACTGAAGCGCAACTCCTCCTAGCACCCCGATTGCCAGTACTAGGCTGGATGTTCAAGGGAAGGGTCCCCTCTACGCATCATGCAACTGATGCTACATGGAGCAAGTGGGTTGCACTGATTACTCAGCGGGCTCGCATAGGAAACCCCAGTCGCCCAGGAATATTGGAAGTGATCATGGACTGGCCAGAAGGCAAATACTTTGGGATATCATCAGAGGAGGAGGTGGGTCGTGCTGAAGAAGCCCCACTGTACAACCAGTTGCCAGAGAATGAAAAGAAATATGCCCTGTTCACTGATGGGTCCTGTCGTATTGTGGGGAAGCATCGGAGATGGAAGGCTGCTGTATGGAGTCCTACGCGACGAGTTGCAGAAGCTGCTGAGGGAGAAGGTGAATCGAGTCAGTTTGCAGAAGTGAAAGCCATTCAGCTGGCTTTAGACATTGCTGAACGAGAAAAATGGCCAGTTCTTTATCTCTACACCGATTCATGGATGGTAGCAAATGCCCTGTGGGGATGGTTACAGCAATGGAAGCAAAACAACTGGCAGCGCAGGGGCAAACCCATCTGGGCTGCTGCATTGTGGCAAGATATTGCTGCTCGGGTAGAGAACCTGGCTGTGAAAGTACGCCACGTAGATGCTCATGTGCCCAAGAATCGGGCTACTGAAGAACATCAAAACAACCAGCAGGTGGATCAGGCTGCTAAGATTGAAGTAGCTCAGGTGGACCTGGATTGGCAGCATAAAGGTGAATTATTTATAGCCCGATGGGCCCATGACACCTCAGGCCATCAAGGTAGAGACGCAACATACAGATGGGCTCGTGATCGAGGGGTGGACTTGACCATGGACGCTATAGCACAGGTTATTCATGACTGTGAAACATGTGCTGCAATCAAGCAAGCCAAACGGTCAAAGCCTCTTTGGTATGGAGGACGATGGCTGAAATATAAATATGGAGAGGCCTGGCAGATTGATTACATCACACTCCCTCAAACTCGCAATGGCAAGCGCCACGTACTTACAATGGTGGAAGCAACCACTGGATGGCTGGAAACACATCCTGTGCCTCATGCCACCGCCCGGAACACCATCCTGGGCCTTGAAAAGCAAGTCCTATGGCGACATGGCACCCCAGAAAGAATAGAATCAGACAATGGGACTCACTTCCGAAACAACCTTATAGACACTTGGGCCAAAGAACATGGTATTGAATGGGTGTATCACATCCCCTATCATGCACCAGCCTCCGGGAAAGTTGAACGATACAATGGCCTGTTAAAGACTACCTTGAAAGCAATGGGCGCTGGGACGTTCAAAAACTGGGATACGCATTTGGCAAAGGCCACGTGGTTAGTCAATACTAGGGGATCTACCAACCGAGCTGGACCTGCCCAATCAAACCTGTTACGTACTGTAGATGGGGATAAGGTTCCTGTAGTGCATGTAAAAAATATGCTGGGTAAAACAGTCTGGGCTACTCCTGCCTCAGGAAAAGGCAAACCTATTCGTGGAATTGTTTTCGCTCAGGGACCTGGATACACTTGGTGGGTGATGCAAAAGAACGGAGAGGTCCGGTGTGTACCTCAAGGAGATTTAATACTGGGTGAGAATAGCCCATAAACTGAATTGTACCATGTTAATTAGTATATTACACTGTATGTTATCACTACCATGATTACTATAGGTGACTAATTAGAATGTATGGAAAAGAGTGTAACCTGAGCATGACATAAATGGTATGGAATAAGGGGTGGATAGATGTCCTGGTTTCAGTTAGCACAGAATTAATTTTCTTCCTAGTAGCTGGTGGAATGCTGTGTTTTGGCTTAGGATGAGAAGAGTGCTGATAACACCCCGATGCTTTAATTGTTGCAGAGCAGTGCTTATACTAAGCCAAGGACATCTCAGCCTTTTGCTCTGTCCTGCCAACGGGCAGGCTGGGGGTGCAGTAAGAGCTGGGAGGGGACAGACCCCGGACAGGTGACCCAAACTAGCCAAAGGGGTATTCCATACCATCTGACGTCATGCTAAACAATATATAGGGGTGGCTAGCCGGGGGAAGGGGGCCGGACTGCTCGGGGTTAGGCTGGGCATCGGTCAGCGAGTGGTGAGCAATTGCATTGTGCATCACTTGTTTGTACATATTATTATTATTTCCCTATTATCACCATATTATTATTATTGTTATTATTGTTATTATTATTTTGTTATTATTATTTTCCTGTCTTATTAAACTGTCTTTATCTCAACTCACGGGCTTCACTTTCCATTTCTCTCCCCCGTCCCAGAGAGGGAGGGGGGAGGGTGAGCGAACGGCTGCGTGGTGTTTAGCTGCCGGCCGGGTTAAACCACGACATTTACCAATCTTTGAAACAGGATATTCTTCAATTTTATGGCTTCCAAATGTACAATCCAGTAACAATCCTGACCTTTGGTACTAAAACATCATTTTGAAATGATAAATGGCTGCTGTTCAGTTGAGAGAGCTCCATACACAGGTTCTCTGTTTCCAAGTTCACAGGATACAAAGGAAGGACACAATGCAGGCGTATATTTATTTCCTAACATTTAGATGTGTTTTCAGCAGTTGTCCATCACTGTAACTGTATTATAAATCAATTACTTGATTTTGTTTTATGGACATCTTCTTCCTAGGTTCCTTCTGGCTCCAAAATTCTGCAATAAGATTACCTTTCACTGAACATATTTCAGGAGCACAAGTTACATATTCTCTTGCCTTAACTGAAAACTGAGAATGCAGACAAATAGGAGGTGCAAGATTTTCTGCTACGGACTCTTTAGGACACTCATTTCCACTAAGATGACCATTATTCTATAGCTGTCAAACACAGCTTCAGGTACGTTTACTGCTCAGCATCTATCAACACACAGCTAATGGACTACATTACTACAAGGGAAGACAAGTATCAAAAAAGAAAAAAGGATGAGTTGATCTGTTGTATGATGATGAATCAAGATACTTGTATGTATTGCTTTTGTTCTGAAACATGCTTAGATCATGCAAATCACTATTTAACACTCCTGCAACAATGGTTTTCTGAGGCAAATTTCCATGAATAGTGAGAACGTCAGCAGTAACACAGACATTCACGTGGGACAAAACTGTGAATGCTTCACGACTAATACTGGCCTGCGTATTTTGTCCTATTGCTCCAACTGGCTTTCACCAGTCAATCTTTATTTTTTAGCTGAAGACTTATGTGTATATATATTACTTTTTTAAGACAAAAAGACTCTATATAATGATGCATTTCAACAGAATTATTGAAATTATTGAATATTCTAGCTACTACAGACTAAGTTTGAAAATTTTATGTTCTTACTTCAAACACTAATTGATTCACTAAGTGATTCACTGTTTAAAAACCCAATGGCATTGCTTGCCCTGGTCTACGTTCAACACTACTGGAAAAACCGAGGATGAAAAGAAATTCTCCTTTGCTATATATAATTTAATGAAGAGTTATGCAACACCAGAAGATAAACATTTAGTTTAAAAGGGCTTATGGGCCCCAGGGATGTCTCTATTTCCTAGAAATAACACCATTATACTGAAATAGCAGCTGCTCCTTACCTGAAAAGAGTTCATGCACTGAAGTGAAGGGGGCAGAGAGGTGGTACTCAATCCCAGTATCAGCAATAATTCCAGACAAGTTTCTGATGGAAACTTTAAGGGATGAACTCCAAAATCATTTTCCCATGCATCAGCTAGTCTGTAAATTAAAAGAAGTATATTTATATATATAAAATACACCTGAAAAACAAGTACTTCAAATGAATGTGCCATAGTATTGTGATAAAAGATTCTCCTCACTTGTCACTCCTCTCCTTGTAAGTCACAGGTAAGTGTTTCTGCCAGAAATACCAGGTGCATTTAGAGCACTTTATACCTACTGCCAATTTACAGAAAGATACATAACTCAAAAGGAAAACTTAGCATACACTAGAACAATCCACTCACATATCTTACTCCAAGTTGAATATTTCTGAACCAAATGTTAACTGCCATTAGCAAATTCCCATCATATGATGTTTTTACACATAGAGCATTCTAGCTGGAAAATAATGCCTCCACTTTTTGTCCTTTCACTTCTGAAAACACAGGAGGGACAGACATGATTTCAAAAATTGATATTTATGATGCTCTTTAACACTAAGCACACCCAGTTCCTTTTATGCAGCTTTCTGCTTTAGATGTATTAAAAAAATTAAGATTTTTAGAGCGAATCACACCCTGTAAAACATTCTGAAAGCATGTTTCTATAAACTGTTCCTGCTACCATGTGCTGAAGAACAAGATCAGTTCAACAAGATTAAATCAAAACATGAGAACGCTCTACATCCTATTATGCATTAAAGAAACAAGCCTGCACACACTGTCAGATTGATTAGTGATCCAGTTATTTACTAATTTTATCTGACCAGCTAGTACCATATACTCCAGACCAAGGCAGACGCCGATAATTCTCAGCAGATTTGGAAGTATTACATTTTAGAAGACAATGTTTGCTACCTTTCCATGTCCAAGACTTCAAGATTTCAATACACAACTTTGGCATCAGCTTTCATTTCTAAATTCCTCCAGCTCTTCTGCAGACAAATTGTTCAAATTGACTAATCTTTTGCTCTTGAACTCATCTGCTTGTTTTAGTCTTATCTAGAAACAGCTGAATTTTTATAAGCATATAAAAGAGTAGGCATTACTGCAAGATTCACTGCAAGTGAAAACTAAGCAAGTATTCGCACTGTCTGTGTCCTTCTGGATGATACTCATTCCCTCAAGTCTAACAAACCTTGTCTGTAAAGTCCTGCTTCTTAGATATAGCCTTACATATGCATTTTTTATACATATGCTTCCACTATTAACTCTTCCCAGTGCCACCATTAGCTCTTCTACATATTCTACTTAGCTTAAGTTACACATCTTTCTTCAGAGTCAGTATATTTTTATTTTCTAAGCTGCATTTTTAAGGAGGTAAGAAACTGGCCTCTTGAGTTTTAACTGTTTTTTTCCTTTTCTAACCTTTCCTTTTTCTCATCCTCCTTTGCTTATCTACGGGTATGTAATAATCCACTTCTGCTTCAAGACACAGAAGCAAAACCCACAGTGCACACAAGGTCAGAGGGGCCTTCATCTCCTTAAAAAAAAAAAAAAAAAAAATACAGGGTTGTGTTCTTGCTCTCTTTTGTTTGTTTGCTTTTAATTCACAATAAAAGAGAATTATATCACTTCTAAATTACCAGATGCACCATGTCTTTCTCAGCCCAAAGCCAGAGTGAACAGGTCACTTTGACATGAGGAGATATAAACCATATACGGAAGGAGAAGAAAGAAGGGTGTCTGGCATGGCACCCTCTGGCATTTCAAATGGCAGTACCTTGCACAAAGGTTTCCCCACATGGCCAACACCACACCAAAGAACTGAGGCCAAAACCTGCTGCACAGCAACAGCCTTCATAATATGTAGCATGGGGCTGGAAATTGCTTCAGGCGCTGTAACTGTGCCAGACAGAGCTGGAAAAGCTGTTTAAAGCTACCGCACAAAACCTGCCTGCTAGGTGAAGAGCTCAGAAGAGACCCTGGAGTATTTTCACAATTGAAAGGTACAAACCTTCAGCTAAACCTCTGGATACTTTATCTATATTAAAAGGAAGCAGGACTCTTTAAAAATAGCCTGCGAGAGGCGAAGCCCTGACTGGTCCAGAGACTGTGGGGATGTGCCAGGGGAGAACATCCAGCTCTAGATCACAGGCACTGAGCTGCCTGCAACCAAGGAGTCGTCATAATTGTAATCTAGAATTGAGTTTCATATTTCACCATATTTCTGTAACTTCATTTCCACACATAATTAGAAACTAACCTTTGTTACGTTCCTTACCGTGTCTCTGTTCTACGTTTTTGACTGGTGATACAGGTAAATTGAGGTAAAGCTAGCAAAACTGGGGCTTTCAATTTTTCACAAATCAGCAAGTCAAAAGGCATCTTCAAACACACAGTAAGAGAGTTTGGAGACTGGAGGTGATACTGTAAGGTCCTGGGGCTTGGGAAGGCATTTCCACAGAGCAGTGCCCCTCCGCAAAGAAACCTTTTGTAACTCCAGGCACTACTCAAAGCATTACAACTTAATTCAGTATCCCCATTCTATTTTTACTTCATGACTTGAAGATTTTTTTGGAGCTGCCTCCTCATATTAAAGCCCAACTCTTACAGCACTGACATTGCATTAGGGCATTTTTTTGGCTGTTGGTTTACATGGGGGAAGGACTGTTTCCATAAAAACATCTAGCCCAATTATATTATAATTCTTGTTTATTAATAGCTCGGTTATGAGCATTTCCTGAAACGATTCCAGTGTGTTCCCTTATTACAAACAAACCATGTGTGTCCTAGCACTTACAGCTCCAGGAACACTCATGTTAGGAATTAGTCTTTATGACTTGTCCTTTTGCAGCATCTAACACAAGTGCTTGTGGGAAGTTTGTGCTTTGTTAGACCATGCCTCTTTGTTCTTCTTTACCCCTGAGACTCAGGGGAATATTTTGCTATAATCTTCACTGTAGAGGAAGGAGAAAAATGTCTGCTTGCAACAAAAAGAAAACAAGCCCTATTTTTTAATCTTAGTCTCATAGAGCCTGTCTAAAGAGGACTGTGTCTTTTCCAGTACAGAAAAGCAAGCTGATTATTTTCTATTTACTGAATTAGCCAGATCAGTTGATAGTGACCCTCAGGAGAGCCAGTACCAATAGAGGACAACTCAGTGCTTCCACCCAAACCAAGCCCAAATGCCAACAGTTTGGTCTGGTTGAGAATTCCTTAGCCATGTAAATGAAACTGTGTTTCACTATCCTAATTTTTAAAGAAAGAGTAATTCAAGTTGACATTAAGATAGGGCAAATTGCCAGAGGGAGTTTTGGGAAGGGCTAAGAAAAGACACACACAAAAAAAAAAAAAAAAAAAAAGAAATCAGCAGGATTCAGAAGTGCACATGGTAACTTTCGATACACGAGGGACTTTGCATGCATGTGCTCTTCTCCCTTGATTCCTAATACCTTCACTCAGCAATGAATTCTTGCTTCTAATCTGCTCTTGAGGGAAAGTAGGTTGGGCCCAGCCTGCACCTTTTGGGAACAAAGAGCCAGAACAAGTCCCTGAGAACATAGCTCATTATGCTGTCTGACAGACATAAAGAGGAGGCAAAACAACAGATTAGCTGGAAGAAGGTGAGGTTAAGAAGAAAAATAACTTATGCACAGTGACTCGTGTTTTGTACAATTCATCTTTCTGCAAACATTTGCTTTTTCTATATTGAAAAAAAAAAAGCCTTGAGATTCTGGGCTTTTCAGTTTGACAATAAAAATTATGACTCTCAGTATCGAATAAAAATTAATAAACTCTTCACAGATTCCCTAAATCATCACAGCACACAAGACTACGTACCTCAGACTGAGTTTTTGATAGATAAAACCTCACCACTATAGACCTTTGCGGTGTTTGAAGGAGATGTGAGTCAGGTTCAGAAATCAGGTTTTAAAACAAAAAGATGTAGTGAAACATACTTGTTAAATGGTTCAAACTAGGAGGCTGCTCTGAGTTCAGAAAAGAACATGTCAGACTGATTTTTTTTTTTTTCCACAGGACATTAAATCCACCTCTCTAAGTCATCATCATTCAGTTTTCCTGCCAGTGATCTCACTAACCCTAACTATTCTAAGCATCATGTCTGTCGCTCCATCTTTCCCATTTATTTCTTTATCACCCCCTTTCTGAGAACTTTTAAGCCCCTTAGCATATTTCAACCAATTTTTCTTAAGAAAGATCTCAAATATATTAGGTTTTAGCATGTTTCAAGTTCTTCTGAAAATCGGTGTCTGAATAGTGGAGAGAAATCCATATTAGTTACCTCATAGAGAAAAGCTACTGATGGAGCTCATCAGCATATATACCAGACAAACAAGTGACATTTATTTGGGACAACATTAGCAAAAACTCAATATGACATTTCCATCTAGCAAAACCAACTGCTACAAGTAAATACATTCTTCTCAGACTACTATACTCCCTAATGAGTGAGCCAAATTGAGAGACTTAGTACTTTTACCTCAGCTTTACTTACCCACTCAATTTTGTGGGTACAGGGCAACTGGAAAGGAAAATCTTGTTTGGAGGTGGGAAGAAGAGTTGGTGGTAATGATACTGTCCCATAAGGGCAAAAATCAGAGCTCTTCCTGGTGTTAATCCAAACTTAAGATGCAACCCCCTACAAATAAAAATGACACCCCAAACTCACCCTTTCTGTTTCAACTACAAAATATACCATACCCTTGGCCATGGAAACACAACAAATAGACATAAGATTAAAACATAAAACAAGACCTTCATATAACTTTCCTTTTGAGAAAGAACCACATGATGAATGCTAATCAAGCTGTTTAATATGCTTCAAGCGTAAGTGTCAGAACTGAAAGCAGTACAGAAAGTGAACAGAGTAAAATTCTACTCAAGAAAGAGGCAACATATTTGGCTACTATGCTAGATGCTGATATGACATAACTATGTGCAATGTGCTAAACTTTCAAACTGGAAGGTTGAAAAAAGAAGGTAAGAAAAAAAAAAAGAAAAAGCTGAGACTATTCCCCCCCCCCCCCCGCCGCCTTGTTTTTTTCAATACTTTCTCTAAAGAACTGGATGTGTGAAGGAAAAAATGCAGAGCAT